AAAAAAAAAAGAAAAAGAAAGAAAAGCCTTTTTATTTTCCTTAACAGTCACTAAAATTAAGCCAAAAGGACAGAACACTAAATGAACTACCAATGAACTTGCACATCTCAAAAGAATTAATTATGGACAGTATGCAGTTAAGTTCCATTCACCACGTTGCTCTCTGGAAACTTTTTCCATCATCACAAGAAAGAAAGTTGCTCATAAATTAATTTTGTTCTGAGAATTTGAATGGAGGACCAGAATATGACTTTAAAAGCCCACCCAGTAGGCTTGACACCTGCAGCAAAGCAGAATATCATGGCCTGCAATCCTGTGGAAACCAGAGGTCCTAAGCCTAGGCTTGGGGAACAGTGAAAAAGACATTATGGTAGATGCACAATTTTTTTATTCTGGCCATTAGCAGCTCAATCTGAAATTCCTGCAGAGAAACAAAAGGTACCCAGATGTAAACATGCCCACTGATTCAGAATTTCTACACCTCCATCAGTACTCCCAAATTCCTCACAGACACTGCTGGCCTGCCCATTCACTCCTTCCCAACAGTGTACACATTACCCTCCATTGCCCACCTAAGTCCCTGTAGGCACCTGAAGGCCCAGCCATGCTAGGGGCATGTTGAATACAATTTCTGCCTCTTCTGTAGGTTTGCTCAGCTTCTATGTCTTTCAGTCCATCTATTGCGGACACTCCATGTTTTCTCAGTGGCTGAGAATTGTTTTTAGCACAGACTTGTCTAGAGAACACTGAGACTCTTGAGCATCCTTTTGCAACTGTTGCAACTTCAACATTCTGATGTTGAAGAGGCTTCACTTAGCATTTTCCTCTCCCTAAAAATTGTGAGATAGACACTAAGCTTCCAGCAAGGTTCTTGGACTCTGTGCTGACTCTGTGCTGACCTTGGCTGTGAACAGGACTGCTATTGGGCTGAGGAGACACTCTGTTAGGAAGACAGAGCCAAGAATGTAACCTTAACTCTAGGCCTCAACTGGACAGGGGCAGAACCTTTTTCTATCAACTCTTCCAACTAGGTCAAATAGAAGGCATCAGATTTCCTTACAAACAGTCTGTCAGTCTACTCTCTTCACTTTTTTCTTTTTTTTTTTTTTTTTTTTTTTTTTTTTTTTTTGAGATGGAGCCTCAAGCTATCCCCCTGGGTAGAGTGCCATGGCATCACGCTCACAGCAACCTCCAACTCCTGGGGTCAAGCGAGTCTCCTGCCTCCGCCTCCCAAGTAGCTGGGACTACAGGCGCCCGCCACAACGCCTGGCCATTTTTTGGTTGCAGCCATCATTGTTGTTTGGCGGGCCCGGGCTGGGGATTCGAACCTGCCACCTTAGGTGTATGTGGCTGGCGCCTTAGCCGCTTGAGCCACAGGCGCCGAGCCTCTCTTCACTTTTCTAATTAAGAAAAGGACACTCTCAATCATATGACTCATGTTCATACCTTATAATAGCTGACATTGTTCTAGGCACACGGTATGGTTCAATAAAGTTTGCAAAATTAAATGGAACAGATAACTGTTGTGAGAATTCCTGCTATAGGATGTCATTTATTTTAAAAACTTTTTGTCAAGGAATGCATGGGATTATAACAGGCAGGATACAACCAATTTGTATAATGCAAGAGATCAAAAAGGTAGCTGCCTATGTTTTAAAATCACATGTAAGGCTGGGCGCTGTGACTTACGCCTGTAATCCTAGCACTCTGGGAGGCTGAGGTGGGTGAATTGCTTGGGCTTAGGAGTTCGAAACCAGCCTGAGCAAAAGCAAGACCCCAACTCTACTAAAAATAGAAAAATTGAGGCAAGAGGATTGCTTGGGCCCAAGAGTTGGAGGTTACTATGAGCTATGATGCCACAGCACTCTACCCAGGGTGACAGCTTAAGACTCTGTCTCAAAAATAAATAAATAAACAAACAAACAAATAAATGTCAAAAGGCCTAAACAGATATTGCAACAATTGCCCAATGGTGGGAAGCAGATTAAGAGTTCAAAGTCCAAGTTAGAAGAGCTTCTAAAATGTCTCAAGCTTTCCACTGAAATACCAAAGGGCCATGCCTTAGAATAAAGAACATTTCCCAGATCTAAGGGGAAAATTAAAATAGGCCTATCCTACAAAAGCCTAAAACCAAGCCTTTCAAGTATCAAAGTTAGTTGCCAATAATTTAACTGGATACCAGAACAAAATTCCACACTCTTCAAAGGAAAACAATTTAATCCAGAATTTCCACAACTACAATCCATAGTATACAGCATACAATCAAATAGGCCATGTACAGTGGCTCACACCTGTAATCACAGCACTTTGAGAGGCCAAGACAGGAGGATTGTTTGTGGCTAGGAATTCAAGACCAGCCTGGGCAATATAATGAGATCCTGTCTCTACAAAGAAAATACTTAACATGTGAAGAAGCAGCAAAACATGCCACTTATCAAGAAAAATAAAAGTTAACAGAAGCAGATACACAGACAGCCTACATGTTAGAATTACCAAAAAAAAAATTTATAAATATGTTAAATATTTCACAGGAAAAGATGGGGTATTATGAATGAAGATGTGGGGAATCTGAATTTTGGAAAAACTATGGACACTCTACAAAGGAGCTCAATGGACCAGGCATGGTGGCTCACACCAGTTATACTAAAACTCTGGGAGGCCAAGGCAGGAAGATCCCTTGAGCTCAGGAGTTCAAGAGCAGCCTGAGCAAAAGCAAGACCCCATCTCTACTAAAAATAAAAAATTAAGCAAGCATCATGGTGAGCACCTGTACTCCCAGCTACTTGGGAGGCTGGGGCAGGAAGATCACTTGAGCCCAAGAGTTTGAAGTTTTTAGGCTGCTGCCTGCCATGGCACTCTAGCCTGGGTGACAGAATGAGACTATCTTAAAAAGAAAAAAGGAGCTTAATGGAAATCTTAGTACTGGAATAATACAATATCTGAAATTTTTTAAGTCATGGAATAAGATAAATACCAGATTAGACCCTGCAGAAAAAAAGTTTCATGAACTGGAAGAGAGGTCAATAGTTATCAACCGAAGTGAAGCACAGAGAGAAAAAAGATTAAGGAATGACTTGTGGGACAATATCAAGCAGTTAGACTACTATGCATGTATTTGGAGTCTCAAAGGAGAGAAGAGATAGAATATGGGTGGAAAATAATTAAAGACAATTTCCAAAATTTGATTAAAACAAGAAACTCAGTGAACCCCAAGTAAAATAAAATACACACATCAGGCACATCATAGTCAAACTGCTGAAAATG